CCTATTTTCCATAAATGGTTTTGGTAAGAGGAATGTTGTAAATGTGGTTACATTTCCACTATTCCTCCTCCATGCCACGATATAGTGTTATTAGCATGAGCAGTTATAAATCCATTGCCATCTTTACTCTAACTTAATTCTTTTTTTAAAATTTAAATTTTTTATTAATTTCAGTAAAAATTTACAGAGGCTTTGGATTTCCATTCATTCATTGTTGCACTTGGTTGCTTTTCTATGGAGCTTTAAAATCTTTAACGCCTTTGATTTCCTCTCTAACAGAGGACACAGACCTTCCAAAGCTGCCTTGCTTCATTTCTGCCTTCACAACTCCCTGTGGCTCACCTTGTCCTCAAAAAGGCATTTACTGGACACTTTGATGAGAAAAGTTCTCCCAGAAAGATTTACAGCTTTGGAAACCTGATGAGACAGTTCTGCTCTGAACTATTGGGTTTTTATGCATTGGAATTGATTTGAAGACATGAATTGGTTTGATTTCTTTGAACTGAAATTGCCATATTCTACTCCACTGTCCCTGCCGCCACCCTTCTCGTCTAACTGCTGTTCCTATTTCCTGCCTCGGTTGAGTCACTCTTCTCCGGTGACGTCATCCTCTGAGGCTTCTTCACGCTGTGCTGGGCCTCTTGCTGCTTCTCCTCACTCCACCATCTGTTTCTTTTCTATAACCGTTACTGCTGCTCATTGGTCTGCAGTGCTAGACTGGAATGCCAGGAAGAGCTATTTGTTACAATCTTCTATTGATTCTTTTTACCTACTATAGTGTCTGCAAAAATTAAATAATCAATAAATATTTAATGGTTATGTGAATGAATGAAAAGAATACTTCCGCTGTGAGAACAATGATGTGCTTGAAGTCAGTGACATTTATTATATAGAGGGAAGATTTCGTGTGCTGGGAAGGAGAGAGACAACGAGACAGAGGACAGTCCTCAACCAGAGGGTTGACACAATGACTGTAACATGGACCCGAGCATGGCAGAGACCATGAGGAAGGCATATGTTATGGTCAAGTGCTCTTGTTCTAAGGTCACGGAGTCATAGTCAGCACCTATCACAATAGACGGTCAGGAGTCCTGGTGACATTGTGAATTATGTGTAGGGCTACTAACCAAAAGCTAGCTGGTTCAAATCCACTTGCTGATCTGGGAAATAAAGGTGATAATTCTCCCAGGTTTACAACTTCAGAAATCTGATCAGGGTCATAGCAAGTTGGATTTGATGCTAGGACAGTAGCGATTAAAAAAAAAAAAAAAGTAAAGTTGAGAACCTGTGTTTCGTGGAAACCTGTCAGAGAAGGAAATGGAAATATTTTTCATTAGCAGAGATAGAAAATGAGTAAGACTACGCTCTGCCAAACAGCCAAACGTTCAAGGCCCAGAAAGCAAAGTGGTCCTTCCTGAGAGGTGGGTCTCGTGGAATTCCCTGTATTTACTTGCAATGTAGTATTAATAATGCGTAATATTGTAATAAAGAGATGAGCTACTAAGTGTAATATTATTTTATTTCAACAAATGTTTTCAGAATCAAATGAGAAAAAAATAGTGGAAGAGGCAGAGCTCACCCTTATTGAAAAGGTTGAAAAGAAGAGGTGTGAAATACTCCATAAATGGGATGAAATCCAGGCTCTTGGAGAGGAAATTAAAAACACCTTGATGCATGTAGGGGTTTCCGACATCGCTGAGAGCAGCAATGAAAGCATAGAGGTAAGAGATTGATTTATTGAGGGTCCACTTTGCTTTTGTTGATTATAGATCTTTGCAAACGTATGAAGCCGTTTGATATTGGAAATATAATGTCCAGTTCTCATGTACTTCTCTTTCAAAAAGTTTTGGAAAATAACTAGAATGACTAAAACAATCCCCTGAAATTTGACAAAACTAAGATAATTTTTAAAAAATTTATTTTATTAATGTTAATGAGCATTTATAGAGATTTTGGATTTCCATCCTTTCATTGTTGCACTACTTTCTCTACCACCCCCCAGTTCGTTCCTCTCTTTTTTTTAAATGAAGATTATTTTTTAAAAAATCTATAAATTGCTAATGTTCAAATGGAACCAATGATCGATGTTCAAATTGGATATCTTTCAGGTTAATTTGTGTCCCTTATAAGTTAACACGTTTGGATGGAACAGGTTAGTTATGAAAAAGTGGCTTCCATAATTATCTAATACGTGTGCTAAATAGTTTTAACAGTCGTCACTCACCTGTCATACTGTGATGACGTGGGTGTTATTGTGATAGTGGGCCTCTGTGGATGAACGGTCTCCAGTCAAACATCCCAGCTAAGACGGATTAGGAAGGCATTCTGAAAAATTGACCAGCACAGCTCTTATGGATAGCAGTAGAATTTGTCTTATTTAGTATGGGAAGATGAACCACTCAGGTTGGAAGGCAGTAAAAATGTGACTGGACCAGTGGTGCCTTCTCAAAATATAATCTACCTTAATGACGCGGAGGAAAGCTTTCAAGACCTTCGGTGGCTGCTATGTTGTTGAGTACTGTAAAGTCAGAACTGACCCACAGCTGACCATCCAGCGGGTTTTCAGAGACAGTTAATCGCCCGGGAGGAGACTGCCCATCCTTCTCCCACAGAGCAGCTGCGGCTCTCGAACCAGTGTCTTCAGGACCGCAGTGCAGCTTCTTGCCACTAGGGCTCGGAGCTCCCTCCGTTGCTAGTACAGCACACCTCAACAGAAGAAGAAATAGCTGCAAAGAACCACCAATAATTGGCATATAAAATGTACAAAGTATTAAATGAGAAAAAACAGAAGTCATGAAACATGAAATAGAGTTATAATATTGACATTCAAGACATGAATTAGTGGAAATGGAATATTACCCACTGTTAAATCAGGTAATCATATAGTCTGCTATACCTGGAATGCCAAATGAAAAAGGAATGGCATTACAAGTACCTTTGAAGCAATATTTTACAATTTATTTCAGGAACATCTTATGGTCATAGTATCATAATGAAAAGTGTAAGTGTCTGGCATTATTAGAAGGTAGAATATAAAACTCTCAGGGATTGGATGATATTCATATACTTTCAAAAGAGGCTTATTCTTGTTCAAATTTATGCACTGATTACTAGCTAAAGAGGAAGAAATAATATTTTCACTAACTTCTAAGTCTAAAATTGATCATATCTGTAATTAAGATGAATTTACAATAATGAGTGGCTGGAATGCATACGTTTCAAACCAAAAAGAAAAAGTGGTCAAAAAAGGTAATCTTAACAGTAGAAATAATGATGGAGATCACATGGTTTCATTTTGTATGATTGATGATTTATTTATTGCAAACATATTTTTTTAAAAAAACCCCATAAATGATGATTTTATACCTGAACTTCACCAAGTAAGGTGCACAGGAATCAAATCAACAACATATGTGGAAAAATCAGTGAAGCAGCTCAGTCTGATCACTGAGAACAAGGACGGGGCGGCAGCAAGTTAAATGCACATACAAGAGGCCAAGTTGAAATTGAAAATGAAAACAATCTCATGTCAACGTATGGCCTTGATTATATTCCTCCTGAATTTGGAGACCACCCCAAGAATAAATTCAATAAACTGAAGATTAGTAATACAATACAGTGTAAGTTGTGGTACGGCATAAAAGACATATATGAAGAAAACAGTAGCCTATTCAATCTAGGAAACAAAGGAAAGGCCAAAATTGGTATAAAAAGAGACTCTTAGATGTATTCTTGAACTTACAGCAGCTCAAGAAATTATATAAATTATGAAGTAATAGATAAACAGAAGATTTCAAAGAGAACCTCATGAGATGAAAGATTTCAATGAGAGGAATACGTATGTGGCATTAGAAGATGAAAGACGAAACTTGTTCAACACTTCTCAAGTTGGAAAAGTTGAAGAAAAAAAAATCCAACCCTATGTTGCAGTTAGGGACCTCTCTAAAGTACTCAAGAGCAATGGTGTCTCTCTGGAGACTAAGGTGCGCCTGATACAGGCCATGGTTTTTGCAATCACTTGTTATTCATCAGGGAGTTGGACAATGACTAGGGAGGATAGAAAGAGAATTGATGCCTTTGAGCTGTGGTGTTGGAGAAGAGTATTGAATGTACCATGGACTGCCAAGAAAACAAACAGATTCATCCTAGAGAGGGTTAAACCAGGCTGCTGCTTGGAGGCAAGGATTCTGGGGCTTCGTCTGACATACTCCTGACATGTTGTAAGGAGAGACAGGTCTTTGGAGAGGGACATCATGCTGGGTAGAGTGGAGGGACAACGCAGGAGGGGAAGACCCTCTATGAGGTGGATTGATTCAGTGACTGGGGGAATCGGGATGGGTGTGTCAGAGGCAATGAGATTGGCACAGGATAGAGCACGGTTTAGGGCTGTTGTACATAGGGTCGTTATGAGTCGCAAATGACTCAACGACACATAACAACAAACCACATGTTGCAATAGCCAGTGAATGAAATGAACATACGAGGAAGCATCAAAAGATAGAATATATACAGTTATGATACCAAAGGCACTGGCCAACTTCCAGCCATCTGAGGACGAAGTGTATAATTAAGAATGAAAAGTATTAAAGAGGAAAGACAAGCTGAACCGAAGACACTGGCCAAAACCAAAACTGCAGGAAATTTCAGAATACCAACTGAGTTGTTTCAACAAATGGATATAGTGCTCTAAGTACTAAGTCATCTACACTAAGACATTTAAGGGATTTATGTTTGTGCCCATGTCAAAGAAAAGTAATGAAACAGTGCAGAAATAAAGTAATGTCATCTATATTCCATGTTGTTGTTGTATACTGTAGAATCAAAACTGACCCACAGCTGACCGTCCAGTGGATTTTCAGAGACAGTTAATTGTAAAGGAGGAGATTGTCCATCTTCTTGTGGAGCAGCTGGTGGCCTCAAACCACGTGCCTTTGGGATTGCAGTGTATCTCCTTGCCACTAGGCCACCAGAGTTGCCTTAATATCACATACAAGTCATATTTTCTGAGGAGAATGTAAAAACTATTACAGTGAGGTATCAAGAGGATATTACCAAAATCCCAGCTGGCTTCAGGAGTGGATGGAGGATGAGGGAAAGAATTGCCCATGTCAGTTTATCTTCACTAAACAGAGAATAGTAGAAAGATGCTTGCCTGTACTTTGTTGACTAAGCAAAAATATTTTGCTTTGTGGATACTAGTGGGTTATGGAGAAAGTTGTAAAGAATGGGAATCTCAGAACACTTAATTGTATTTATGCAAAACTTCTATAAAGATCAAGAGATGTTAGAATAGAATAAGGGAACAATCTGTGGCTTAGATACTCATAGGGTTTTCAGAGGCCTGCTATTTCAGAAGTGAATGGCCAATCCTGCTTCCTAGTCTGTCTTAATCTGATAGCTCCATTAAAATCTGACACCACCCCCAGGCATTTGACACACTGGTGGCACAACTTTCAGTATCACAGCACCCACAAGATACCTCTGTACAGCAAACTGACAGACAAGTGCTGTAATTAGAACAATGATAAGCAAGAACACAGATAACTACGCTACAAAGTAATTGGCAGTTAGCAGATCATTCCTTCAATGCAGTCAGGAAATGAGACGTATAGCATTGGACAAGTCCACTGTCAGCAACCTCTCCAGAATGTTGAAGAGCAGAGGTGCCAGTTTGAAGTCTAAGGTGCACCTAATTCAGGCCAGGGTCTTCTTAATCACCTGCTATGCATTGGAGAGCTGGACTATGACTAAGGATGACAGAAGAAAAATTTATGCCTTTGAGTTGTGGTGCTGGAGAAGAGTACTGAATATTCTATGGGCTGCCAAGAGAACAAACAGACATGTCTTGAAGAGGGTGCAACCAGATTGCTCCTTGGAGGGAAAATGAGGACGTTTCATCTTTCATACTTTGTCCGTGTATCTATATGAGGCTCTTCCTTGGAAAGGGACAATATGTGTGAAGATGAGGGATCAGTGAAGGAGAGAAATACCCCCAATGAGATGGCTTGATGTGGTGACTTCACCATTGGGCTCGAGTGTGTCAAAGACCATAATGATGGCACAGGAGAGTGCAGGGTTCATATTCGCTCTTTATAGGGTCACTATCGACTTGACAGTACCTAACAACAACAACAACAATAACAGCAGCAACAATAACAACATGAGTTATACTCGACAGCACTTCACAATAATAACAGGAAGTCTGAATCCCGGGCACTAGCTCTCGGATAAGGCTTCTCTCTCTGACAGTTCTGGAGGAAGGTCCTTGTTTCTGAGCTTCTGCTCCTTGACTGTCTTCCTAGTTATTGAGAAGCAATGATATCAGTTTGAAAACCAAGGTGTGCCTGATTCAGGTCATGATCTTTTCAATCCCTTGCTGTGCACCTGAGAGCTGGAAAATGAGTAAAGATGACAGAAGGCCAAATGGATCCATTGACCTGGTGTTGAAGAGTACATTTAAATATCCAAGGACTCCCTAGCTATTGCTGTTGTTGGTATCTCCCATGAAGTCAACTGTGGTCCATAACAACCCTGTGAACAATGTCTCTGAACCTTGACCAACCTTACTATCTCTGACACACTTGACCCCATTGCCACAGTCACCGTGTCAATCCATCTCATACAGGGGCCTCCTCTTCTGCATTGACCTTTTATCCTTCCAAGCATGATGCCCTTCTCCAAAGACTGGTCCCTTCTGGTGACATGCTCAAGTATGTGAGTT